AGATATATGAATGTAAATATATGTGTGTGTATTTTGTCTAATAAGAAATCATATTAGATCATGTCGTGAATACATTTTATTTTAGTAATGCCCCAAAACAAATTATGTTTCAAGAAGACAAGAACTACATGTCTTAATATGTATGTCTTAGAAACAAGCACTATTCGGAGATAATATGTACGTGATAACATTCCTTTTTTATGTATAATATTTACAGTATTATACATTTATTATTAATTGTTCCGATTGTCTACATTTTCTACACATGTTATCACTAAGCTAGTATGTGAGAACTTGTGCGGCATAACACAAGGTCCCAAAACTAGATCCAATCAATGACAATCGATCATGGGATAATGATGATATACGATCGGATTTACATGGATGTGGACTCCATCACAAATTTAGATAGGTAGTTGAGCTCAAGATTATGAATTTTGGTAATTTGATGATGGCCACATAGATATGAATTTCAGTAATTCTAATACGTCTAGAGAATATTGACATATCCAACCAAGAAACCATTTAATATGTTCTATTTATAGTCAATATGTTCTTCATGTGCGGAGTGATGCACTTTTTCCATGACCATGATTTGGACTCCAATCGAGGTAGACATGACATGTATTGAGTGCATCATGAAACACATAAGAGTGGTAATTGAGACAAGAAATGGTTCATTCTTCATTATAGATTTAGAGATGACATTTTATTTTTCATATCTAGATTGATCACAAAATTCATTGAACATGTAAAGATATATTTTTTTTTGGATTTCAAATATGATCATTATGATTCATCAAGAACGTATGAGAGACAACAAATAAGTTATTAGTATAGAAACTATATCAAGTTCTAGACTTCGTTGAATTTGGTAAATACAAGGATCATATCACTATGAGTTGTATATCACATAAAATATGTATAGTTCTCACAAACGTCCTTATATATTAAATTTAATTCTCTGATAAATCATTTAGGAGCTTTATTAAGACTTAGTCCTAAGTATACAAGATCCGATGAGTCACACAATAAGTGACTATAACGGACTCAATTACACATTAATTGAATTAAGTACTACGTAATATTTAATTCTTAATATTGATATAGAAATGAATGAATTGAAATACGAAGTATTATTTAAATTAAACAATATGTAATTCATGATGTTGAAGGATAGTTCTGTTTTATATAACAAATTAAGTATGACAAACTAAATTTATTGCATTTAATTAATATGTATTTATATTTAAATAAAACTATGATATTTTTCATAATTTATTGCAGATGCCCCCACACCCACCCAAGTTCTGCATCCGCCCCTACCTTCACCCTATGTTATTTTTTTGGATGTACTTTCGCATATATTTAATATTTGTTCTATTAATGTCAATATCTTTGATTGGGATGAGTTTCACACATGTGACCTTCTCCTTGAAAGTGTCATATTGATGTCATCGAAGCACAAGATGTTTGACCTTCACCCTATGTTATACGGAGTAATAAATATTTTCTCACTATTACTCTGTATCGTATACTCTTAATCTATTTTAAATTTATCTACTAAACTCCTATACAATCAACCAAAAGTATCAAGCACAATTACTTTGAAAAAATAATCAATCTAGACATTCACTAAAATTTAAGATGTTTTTAATCAGACTGCTTCAGACCCAGACCAGGTCAGAACAGATCCGACCAGATTTAACGAGACCAAATCAAATCAGATCAAACTTCGAAAGTTGTAAAATACGCATAGAACATACATCTACCAGATCAGATAAAAAAGTTCAGTCCTATTGAAACACCATTGACCTCCTATAGGCCATAACATATCACTTTTTGAATATAAAATTTGACAAAATAGAACAAATTCATACAATTATAGAAAATAATAGTAAAAAAAAAACAAATGTCAAAATCTATAATGTTTTGGTGTTTTTGGAATTACTTGTGTATTATACATATTTAAATATTTTGACATTTTAATTTATATTGTTTAGTTTTAATTATATATTTTGTTTTTAGTTATTGTTTTTTTATTTTGAGATTTTAGCTATTTATCTACTTTGATATAGTATGGTTTTATTTATATTTTTTAAAAGTATGACTTTTTACCAATCATATCAGTTTTCTCATTAAAATTTTCAAAAAGTAACATGCTATAGAGGGTCAAGACCTAAAATGAATGAAATGATGGTTTTATCAGTGTAATCATATTTTTTATATGATACCTTTTTATCTTATTTGATGAACTTGAAATTATAGAGGAAATTATTTCATAATTTACCCTATTCTAACTACTTTCGTTTTCACATATTTAAATAATTTTATTTTCACCAATTTATTCACTTTCTTATTTTTTTAACAAGCACACAAACCTCCATAGAGAATTTCATTGTTTCCGCCTTAAATAAAAACAAACAGCAACACATGTAGTGACATGTTTGAAATTCAACAGACAAGATAAACACACAAACAAACAGAGATAATAACAGGGAGCCTCTTCCCGCCTCTAGTACTCCTCTCCCTCATCCCCTTCATCTTCATCCTCTCCTTCAGCCCCAACCTCCTCACAGTCCTTCTCTAGAGCAACCAGATCCTCACGTGCCTCACTGAACTCACCCTCCTCCATACCCTCACCAACATACCAATGCACAAATGCGCGCTTGCAATACATGAGGTCAAACTTGTGGTCAATGCGGGAGAACACCTCAGCAACACTGGTGGAGTTGGAGATCATACACACAGCCCTCTGCACCTTGGCCAGGTCACCTCCAGGAACAATAGTAGGTGGCTGGTAGTTAATACCACACTTGAATCCAGTAGGGCACCATTCAACAAACTGAATGGCGCGCTTGGTCTTGATGGTGGCAACAACAACATTCACATCTTTATAGTTTATGGCTCTCTGTGTTTTTTCGACCAAACGCGGTCTAAATACTTTTAATTTTAGTTTGAATATGAAGGAGGGCATGTTTATTTGAAGTGAAATTTCCTGATCGTGTACAAGACATGTGTTGAGGTTTATTCCTCCAAGTCCAAAGGTCCAACACGTTCCTTTGGCTGTCGTTGGGATATGAGGGTTAAGATGAATAATGCGTGAATGATGATCAACAAGAGGAGACAATTAACCAACTGAATTGAAGTAAATGTGTTGATTACACAGAAATAGCCGAACGGGGTCTCCAGAATAGGAGGCTAATACAAGAGTTAAAATCAAACATATTGTTATGAGTACAAATTTGCTAACGCTTTACAATGGAATAAATGTCGGTATTTATACTATGAATGAATAGTTGAGGGGAGTGACGGGCGGACCCTGAGTGGATGATCTTTCAACCATAAAATCCTCCATATCTCTTGCATTAAATGCGCTTCCCGCCAACTATGATGTTTCCCGCCGATGCTCTTAGACCGATCCTCCATGGTTGGCATCTTGTGGCGGAATGAATGATTTGAGTACGGTGGTGTAGCCATTCGGCAGTACCCGTGCGGCATGGGCTGTCCGACCACGCCCGTACTGGACTACCTGCTGGGATGCTTAAGCGGATCTTGGGGATATTTTGGGCACGTTTCTGGGTCGGCCTTAATATCCCAACAACATGGTTTAAACTGATCATGTATAAGACATGGGTTAATATGATTTGATAGATTTTTTTGGAATCTTGTTTGTCCTCGTGAATTTGAATTGACAGTGAAGTCATCAAGTCAATGAGTAACAAAGGATGAAATTGGTCCGATCAGGGTCGGATTTTCGCTACATCCGGAAATTACTTGTAAGATCTCGGGTTATGAAATTAGAAAGTGGAACAATGCTCACTGTACTTAATCCGAGTCAGGTGTTGATAACTCGGATTCGATCAGGGTTCAGATAGGACTATTTAAATCCCAAATGAGAAATCATCACTTTGTTTTTTATATTTTAAAACCTATTTTCAAACAAAACTACTGAAAAATACAAATCACAAATACTAACATAAATATTAGTGTGTAAAATCGCCAAAAACTCAAATCCAAACAAAATAGTTTATATTAATGTTACGTTCAAGATACATGTAAACAAATAATAGAGATTTTTCCAAAAGTATTACGTAGTACTTCTTTCTTCCGCTAAGATTGTCTCATTTTTTTTTATTTCGATCCGTTCCGCCAAGATTGTCGCATACCAAATTTAGAAAACTTTGTGTGGTTCTAAATCATTCTTACTTATCAATTCAATATGAACTAGCTGAACTCACTTTTATTGGTACACATGTCACTCCTTTTTGTACCATTTTTAGTGGAACGAAGGGGGTAGTAAATAAAATTTATGTAAAAAATGTAATTAAAGTTTCTAAGAGTATATTTTTCATGATTACCAACCAGTATATAGATTGAAGAAGAATATAATGATTAAATTTTTTTTTTGACCAAAATGGTATAAAGTTTTTTGGCGAGTTATAAGTTTTAGAAGCGCTAGAGAAGTTGACTTTTGAGGTTCAATTCGAGAATATTTATTGGAAGCATAAGAAAACTTGAAGTGTTTTCCGTTGGGTTGTTGCACCTTATGAATGAATGAATCAAGTTCACTTCAAGAGTTGGATTTGTGGTACACACTTTTTTGTGTAGAGATTTTTTTATTTGTTACGGACAAAATGTATTTGACAAAATAATTTGTATCGGACAAAAAACCTTGTAGATGTGTACACAACAAAGTGGGTAGGTTTTGGAACTTTCGTGAAGGAATACCCCAAAAGTGAAGGAGTTGGAGAGCGGTAGGCGGTAGCATCTCCGGACGTAACAAAATGCCGACTCGCTCGCTCACTCACATCCACATCAGCGCAAAGCAAATGCTGCTGATACGTATATATATATATAGGGATAGGGGATAGGGAGAGAGTCCAGATTAGACGTCTGTGGATAAGCAGGTGAGCGTATCAGATACGGACACCAACAACTTATCCAACCCTCGTATCACCTCGCTCTATAAATTTATTTGTCTCATACATACGGAGTATTTGCTTCTTCACATGAACTTCTCGCGCACAGATAGAGAGAGAGAGAGAGAAAGTATAAATAAATACGGAGTACGTATTTTTATTGTTTCCTTGTCTAGTCTAGAGAGAGAAACTTCAGCGACCAAAACCCTACGATCTGCAATCTGCTCTCTCATTCATTCAAGCCGCCCCCTTTCCTGTCTTCTCTCCATCTGCATCACCATGCACACACATACATAGATAGAGAGAGCCCTCTGTTTTCACACTCCTTTAAATACGCCTATACCTATGTCTGATTTCCTATTTATATGCACGCCCATCTCAGAATTTCATTTTGGGGGAAATCTTTCACCGGAATTGTATGATTGCGCCGTCTCAATTCATCTCTGTTGCAGGAATTCTATTCGATTCCCTTTTTCTTTTCATTCTCTTTTTTTTTTAAATTAATTCCTTCTCCATTTTCATTAACTGTTTGCAGGCGCCTTCACTGAGGATCACGACATGGCGTCCCTCAGCAAAGAGCTTGTGTTTTTAATACTCCAGTTTCTGGACGAAGAGAAATTCAAAGAAACTGTTCACAGGTAGGTTTTTCCCCCTATTTTAATACTTTTAAACGGCAAGTGGACATTGGGGTGTTCAAGCAATACTCTTATGGATTCACTTCACTAAAATTTGCTGAAGCCAGTCTTGTACTTCTGGTCAGCTTATTTTGATGGTAGGGTTTCTATTTGCTCTTGGAAATTGAGACCATCTTAAGCTTCAAGTCTTTTATTTTCATGCCACATTTAAGTCTCTACTGCAATTTGCATTTAATGTTGTTAATTGACCTTTTTTTTGTTTAATGCATATGTTGAAGTTTGGAACTAGAGTCTGGATTTTTCTTTAATATGAGATACTTTGAAGAAATGGTATCAAATGGAGAATGGGATGATGTGGAGAAGTATCTTGCAGGCTTCACAAAGGTCGATGATAACAGATATTCAATGAAAATCTTCTTTGAGGTCCGAAAGCAAAAATATCTTGAAGCTCTTGACAGGTGGGAAAACGTTTAAGCTGCTGCAAGACGTGCATTTTTACAAACCTGATTTTGATATTTCTGGAACTTTCTAATTGTAGCAATGCTTCTGTCTAACTATCCAGTTCATTGTGTTGTTAACTGTCTTTGAATCTGGGCAAATTCAGGAAGGATCATGCTAAGGCTGTTGAAGTTCTAGTAAAGGACTTGAAGATTTTTAATACTTTTAATGAAGACCTATACAAAGAAATTACACAACTTCTGACTCTGGAGAACTTTAGGTAATTAATGGTCGGTCCATCAAGGATTGTCACTGTTATCGGACTAATCCATTATTCACATTGAACTTGATGCAATTGATGTTAAAAAACATCTGGCAGAGACAATGACCAACTATCTAAGTATGGAGACACGAAGTCTGCAAGGAATATTATGCTCGGTGAACTGAAGAAACTGGTTGAAGCAAACCCCTTGTTTCGTGATAAACTAACGTTTCCAACCTTAAAGAACTCAAGGCTGCGGACATTGATCAATCAAAGGTTTGATTCTGCTGAATTACAGATTTTATAGTTTCTCTAGTTTGATCAGGGATCTTTGGGTCCATTGCAGTTTTTACTTATCAGTAGACGTCTCTGTTTGGTTTCAGTTTGAATTGGCAGCACCAGCTCTGTAAGACTCCAAAGACTAATCCTGATATAAAGACATTATTTGTTGATCATACTTGTGGACAGTCACAGCCAAATGGTGCTCGTGCTCCTTCCCCTGTTACCAATCATCTGATGGGAACTATCACCAAGTCTGGGGGATTTCCATCTCTAGGCTCTCATGGTGTAAGTTGATGACTAAGAAAGAAATTAGCTGAAAATTTGCTCATAGTTTCACGCTGATTGACTGTCTTTTGTGTATCATCCTTTTTTGTTCTTTCAGCCTTTTCAGCCATCACCTTCGCCTCTGCCAGCATCTCTTGCTGGATGGATGACCAGTCCATCTCAACTTCCTCACCCTTCAGCTCCTGCTGGGCCCATTGGTTTCACTCCACCAAACAATACTGGTTGGTATACTGAAAAGTGTTATTGCACATCAGTTGATGTAATTTTACTTTGGTTGATTATGTAATGATTATGACATACCATGCTGGATCTATTTTTTTTAATTCTGCTGCCAATTCTATGTAGCAGCCTTATTAAAACGCCCTAGGACTCCACCTACAAATAATCCACCTTTGGACTATCAAACAGCAGATTCTGAACATGTGGCAAAGAGGTCACGTCCATTTGGCATTCCTGATGAAGTATGATATTTTCTCAAGTTTTTGTTATTGTGTTTATTACATTATAGAAACTAAATATGCTATTTCAGTGTGCTTGCATGCACAAGTTAATACATAGGCTTTATACTTGTTTTCTCTTTGATGCTTGTGCATGCATTTGAAGGTTTTTATGGTAGCCCTGATGTTGAGAATATCTTTATATTTCACTCTCATTTTTCGTGTGCTGAACGTTAATATAACAAAAAAAAGTATCTGCAGGCTAACAATATGCCTGTCAGTATTTTACCTGTTGGATATGCCAGTCAGAGTCATGGTCAAAGTTCATGTTCAACTGATGATTTGCCAAAAGCTGTCATTATGACTTTGAACCAAGGTTCATCAGTCAAGAGTATGGATTTTCATCCTCTACAACAGATTCTACTTCTTGGTTAGTATTTCTTGTGTAGGTATCTTGGTTAGTACTTAAACCCAGGATATGTTAATAAAATAGTATTGGATATTCTACACTAGTTTTTTTTTGGGAAAACTGTTTGCCCTAATTTATCTTTAACATTTAAATTTATATTTAACATTATTATAGTTGGGACGAGCTCAGGAGAGATTGTGGTTTGGGAATTGGGTACTAGGGACAGGCTAGCCCACAAAAACTTCAAGGTTTGGGATATTGAAGCTTGTTCAGTAGCCCTGCAGGTTTGCCTTTGATACAATAACCATAATATGTATTTCTGTACTGGTTGAAGTTCATTGCTGATTTTTATGGTCAAATGTTAAGCAGCTTATATAGTTTTTGGTTTTACGACCTTTGGTTTTCTATCTTGTATTAGGCTTCTATGGCAAAAGAGTACTCTGCCTCGATTAATCGTGTAATGTGGAGCCCTGATGGATCTTTATTTGGTATGCTGCGTGAACTTTGTATTAATTATATTTCAAGATTAGCCTTGTTTACTTAGTGGCTTGACTGGTTCTGATTTCTCTTGTATCACCTCAGGTGTTGCATACTCCAAGCACATCGTGCACATCTACTCATATCATGGTGGTGATGATTTAAGAAACCATTTTGAGGTTAGCTACCTGTATCTTTGGGATGCATACTATTTAGTGGCAATTTTCTTATCTAACTTTACTGGATACATGATTCACTATTTCTGGTTTTACAAAATATTTAGATTGAAGCTCATAATGGAAGTGTCAATGATATCGCTTTCTCATATCCAAATAAACAACTTTGCATCATTACTTGTGGGGACGACAAGCTAATTAAGGTTCGATTTTCAAGTTAGTACCCCCTCCCCCCTGAAGTATGTTGGGTTGAGATCTCTACCTTATGAATTAGTCTTCCTCTTATTTTGGTCTTGGAATGAATATTACAGTTCAATTACAACAATTTTTATGCTTTACAGGTGTGGGATACAGTAACAGGCACTAAACAGTATACATTTGGGGGCCATGAAGCGCCAGTTTATTCTATATGCCCACATCACAAAGAAAGCATTCAGGTAAACATTTTTATGCTTGAAATTATTGGTCTTGTATACAACTTCCCCTGCTTGTGATAAATAACAATTAACTAAACAAGTACAGCCTGCTTGGATTTCACCCATTGTCCTCTATGATTTATAGGGATCAGTGTTCTTTGTTCTGATGGGAAATACCCACTGTGCATGTAAATTTACTAGTCAGTCTGATACTCTGATAGTAGCATTGAAAAGAAACTCTTTATTTCTGAGTGTAATATTGTACTCTCTATTATACAAAGTTTGGAGATCGAATATAGTGCTAGGTTTGATGGGTTGAGAATATGTTGCATATTTGAGGTATTACACTTCTTCTAGTCATCATAGAGATATTCACATTATATCCTTTCCTTTTTATGTGCATGACTGCATGCTAACCATGTTTGAAGAATTTTGTCACTGATGTTTCAACTCTAATCATTCCCCAACCACAGTTTATCTTCTCATTGGCAACTGATGGTAAAATAAAGGCATGGTTGTATGACAACGCGGGTTCCAGAGTTGATTATGATGCTCCGGGCCGTTCGTCAACTATTATGGCTTACAGTGCTGATGGTACAAGGTTTGTTAGATCGCTATCTCCCCAACCTTCTACCATTTTCCATTGCAGTTTTATTGATACTCTGCGTCCTGTTGTATTTTGGCTATAATGTCTTTTTCATGATACAATGAATTTACAGGCTGTTTTCATGCGGCACTAACAAAGAAGGGGAGTCCTTCCTTGTGGAATGGAATGAAAGTGATGGAGCTGTTAAGCGATCATATGTTGGTATTGGGAAGCGTGCGGTCGGAGTTGTACAATTTGATACAACTAAGAATAGATTTCTAGCAGTTGGTGATGAGTTCATGGTCAAATTTTGGGACATGGACAATGTGAATTTGTTGGCTACTACTGATGCGGATGGAGGTTTACCCGTGAGTTATTTTTGTTGTTTTATAGTTTTCCAACAGATTCCAAAAGCTAGTCTTAGTTTGTATACTCTGCAGGCATCTCCTTGTCTACGATTTAGCAAAGATGGAATGTTATTGGCAGTTTCAACTAGTGAAAATAGCATCAAAGTTTTGGCTAATACAGATGGTGCTAGGCATTTACGACCAACAGAGACTCGTGCATTTGATGTTTCAAGAGTTGCCTCTGCTGCTGTGAAGGTAGACCGAGTGATTTCAGTTCTTTATTTGTATTGTCATGCTTGGGTCAGGGGAGAGAGGCCATCAGAAACCCTTTTCATTTGCATTGCAGCCACCTGTGATGGGTAGTTTTGGTGCTCCCAATGCATCTGTTGCAACAACTATTGTAGATAGAGTGTCTCCCATGATATCCATTGTTCCGATGGTTAGGTTTCCTTAATTTTTTAAGAACATCTAGGAATTACATTCTTAAATGTGGACCATTTAATTCGCTTTCCATCATTAACTCTTGTAGACTAGTGAAAGTCGAACTTTGGCTGATGCGAAGCCAAGAATTGCAGATGAGTCAATAGAAAAATCTAGGAGTTGGAAGTTGACTGAGATCAACAATCCATCACAGTGCCGTTCTTTGAGACTTCCTGATAATTTGCCAGCTGCAAAGGTATGATTATATCTGTTTTGCACTCTTAGCTTTTATGTTTAAGTGTTGCTTGCTTGCTTGCTTTGCTTTAGATAATTGTCAGTATCTTCATATGACTGAATTACTAATAATTTATGCATATACTTGATGAATCTCCTTTTTTTTTGTTTTCTTGGTGGGTGTCTCAGATATCGAGATTGATATATACTAATACGGGAGTTGCCATATTGGCATTAGCTTCAAATGCAGTTCACAAACTCTGGAAATGGCCTCGGATTGAGACAAACCCTTCTGGAAAGGTGGTGGTGGGGGTCTTTAGAGCACAATTTTTTGTTTCATTTAGTAAATAATTTTCACTGTCGAGTCATTAAAAAGTAAAACATACTAGTATAATTCTTCAGGTTCCCTTTTAACTTTCCAATCCCTATAAATTTGGCTTTTTAGGCAAATGCTAGTATAACACCTCAACTATGGCAACCTGCAAGTGGAATATTGATGACTAATGAGATCAGTGAGACAACCCCAGAAGAGGCAGTCCCATGCTTTGCATTGTCCAAGAATGATTCATATGTTATGTCTGCTTCTGGAGGGAAAATCTCATTGTTTAATATGATGACTTTTAAGGTAAATGGTTCTTTCCCAGTATTTTTTGAATACTTGCTTTTTTCTCTCAAGCTGCATTCTTGAGAAAAAAAATAGCCATTCTTCCGACCTGTTTCCACACTTTCAAATTGGTGTTTTTTGAACTGTTCACAAATAACAATAGATGTGTGTGCGTATTTGTGCTTTTTGGTACTTTTAATATATGTCCAGATCTGTATATGATCTCTTTATTTCTTATATTGACAAAACTATGAATAGTAGTAATGATGATGATATTGATGATGATAATAATAATAATAATTACCCTAGTGGCAATAGAAATAGATTTTAAAGAAAATTATATTTCTTATTTTTATGATGAAACAAATAGTGGTCTTACATCATTCCTTGTGGAATCATATATTCATATTCTTGCTGACTGCAGACTATGACGACCTTCATGTCCCCTCCACCTGCAGCTACATTTTTGGCATTCCATCCTCAAGACAACAACATTATAGCCATTGGCATGGAGGATTCCTCTATCCAAATTTATAATGTTCGAATAGATGAGGTTATATAGCTAGTTGTCTGTATTCAAGTGCAATTCCTCCATTCTTAAGTGTTTTAATGCTAATTTTTGCCATATGCTTTATTTTATACAGGTGAAGACCAAGCTTAAAGGACATCATAAAAGAATTACTGGCCTTGCTTTTTCTAATGTTCTTAAAGTACTTGTATCTTCTGGAGCTGATTCTCAGGTGAACATCATGTACTTTTATTTTATGAAAGTTGGTTGTAAGTTGAAAAGTTTATTTTAGGATTTTCGTTGTTCTATATTTGGCAGCTCTGTGTTTGGAGCACTGATGCTTGGGAGAGGCAAACGAGCAAGTGCTTGCAAATTCCAACAGGGCGTTCAGCTGCTTCACTTGCAGACACACGTGTCCAATTTCATCATGATCAAACTCAGTTGCTTGTAGTCCATGAGACACAGATTGCTATATATGAAGCTCCCAAACTGGACTGTCGCAAGCAGGTAAGGAATACAATGGCGCTGGCTCGCTGCCCACTACTCTCCACATTTTTCGTTTTTATTCACCCAATTTTGTTGGAATTAATTCCACTTTTGGACCGATTATGTCAATTCTCAATTTGGTCCAAGTCTTTCAATTTGCTCACTTTTGGTACATGACCATTGTTTCGTGACCATCCATTGTTTTTCTGACCAAATTCCCGACACCTCTTTAGCGATATGATGCGCTGTAAATATCAATAGGACCACATGTGAGAAAGGAACAATAGTCATGTACCAAAAGTGTGCAAATTCAAAGTAGGCCAAATTGGAGTTGACATAACACTTGTAGGGCCAAAAGTGGATTTAATTCATTTTGTCATGTATTTTATCAATGAGTTTTCTTTTTTTTTAATGAATTGATGATTAGTGGGTACCCCGAGAAGCAAGTGCAATCACATATGCTACATATTCATGTGATAGCCAGTCTATATATGTCAGTTTTGAAGATGGAGGTGTAGGTGTCCTTACTGCTACAAATCTCCGATGGAGATGTCGGATATATCCTGCTTCATACCTGCCTCTTGCTAATCCAAGGTGGGAACATACTATCTCCACCCATACTTTCATCCCCTCCCTGTTCACCCACTCATTCTCACATGTTCTTGTGTATGACTGTGCAGTGCGAGAGTCCACCCACTGGTAGTTGCTGCACATCCATCTGATCCGAATCAGTTTGCACTGGGACTAAGTGATGGTGGGGTGGTTGTACTTGAACCACCCGAGTCTGAAGGCAAGTGGGGAACTTTGCCTCCAACTGAAAATGGGGTTGGACCTACTTCCGTTTCTGCTATTACTCCTTGTTCTGATCAACCCCATAGGTAGATAGCAGCCCCCTGCCGGTCAATCTCTTTAAGGCGTGCCAAGAATAGGAAGAAGAAACAAAGGTGTAACTAAACTTCGGATGGATATTTAGATCGAGGTTATGTAGAAAAGGTCTAGCTATAGGTTTATGGTGTTGGTTTTGGGGCTGATGAATTCTTGATCTATCTGGAAGGAGGGATATGGGCTATCTACTGGATATATGGTGTAAAAATTAAGGTTCATCAGTATGCTTTGTAGGGGTGGTGGGTCTTCAGCCTTGGTCCAGTCTTTGTAACTTGAGGGGCAACTCTTTTTTTCTTCCTTCTCCAAGGTTTTGTAAAATCCTGCTTCCTACTTAATTGATTCGTTCATTTATACGGAGTACTGATATTTCCATTCACACATAAAAATGTCATCTCCAACTCTAATCATATCTTGCAAAACTCCAAAATGTCGCGTATTAAGGGCATCTGTAGACAAATACGTATCGACATGATTGTTCAAGTTCAAACTCTCATTGATTCTTTATTATGATGGAGCTTTGACTTTTAGACACGAGTAGCCCTCATTAATACGGAGTAAAATATTAATGATTTAATGGAGTGAAGGAGAACTTTTTGTCGTATGAAAAAGGACTGTCCATCTGATCTCATTTTAACTCGTCTGTCATAACAATTCACTTTTTGTGGTCAATGTAGTCGTGGACTCGGGCCGGGTCGGCCCGAGGGTTGGACAGGTCTGGTTCGGGCCGGGCCACCCGCCCGGGTCACGGGTCGGGTCTATTAAAACATAATATTTGTGTACATAGTTTGTATTATATCCGACATGCATAGCTGAGTACATATATTATTATTATTATTATTTATTGTTGTAATTATCACTTAGCAGTAGTTATCACTTAGTTGCTAGATCCTATTTTCACTCAACTGTAATTATATATATTTGAGCCCTTGCTCACATGGAATACAAGATATTTTTCATCCTCTTCATGGTATCAAGAGCCTAACTCTTAGGAGATCACATATACAATTTTTTTTTCGATCCTACTCATGGCAGACATCATCGAAAACACTCGGGTGATTCCAATCACTGCAGCAAACTATTTTCCCATCAAACTCACCCAAACTAATTTTCCGGTTTGGAAGTGTCAAGTGCAATCTGCACTCATCGGCCTTGGACTAGAAGGCTATCTCACGGGTACTATTGTGCCGCCTGCGCCGTTCCTTGATGATGCTAAAACACGTATGAACCCGTGTTACAGCATTTGGTATCGACAAGACAAAACTCTAATCAGCGCACTGCTCGGAAGTTGCTCGGATCAAATTCAGCCCGTCATCTCTTCCGCTCAAACGGCCAAGCAAGCCTGGGAAAAACTCCAGCTCACTTATGCAAGCACCTCTCGAGGGAGAATTGTCTCCCTCAAATCTACTCTCGGACGCACCAAGAAGGGTTCTCGCACAATCAAGGAATATTTGGCCGAGATGGAGTCCATTGCTCAAGATCTAGCACTCGCTCTAAGCCCTGTCCAGGAGGAAGATTTAGTCATAAGCATTCTGAATGGACTCGGATCTGACTACAGTGAAATCCATGCAGCCATCAGGGTTCGGCCGACCCCCCTTCCACTTGCTGAACTCCAGGATATTCTCCTGGATCATGAAACCAGACTCTCCCAGCAAGACCCAGTTGATACTATTATTCCCACAGTGAATGCTATGAAATTATCACCAAGGCAAGGCTCTCAAGAACGATCATCGCCGGCGTATGGTGACCGCCGACAATCTGGATCCCGTCGTGGACGCGGTGGGTATCAGCATCAGGCCCCCCGTCCATCATCTAATGTTATTTGCAAATTTTGCGATAACACAGGTCATGATGTTAAGCAATGTCGCAAATTACAACGGTTCTTGCGCGACAATCACATTCAGATTTCTGCCAACCCACATGTCAATCATACGGCTGCTGCTACATCTTCGGACTATCAACCTTGGCTCCTTGATAGTGGGGCATCCCACCATGTTACCAATGATGCATCTCAATTGCCGCAATTTTCTGACTATGGAGGTCCGGAAGAGGTGCATCTAGGTAATGGTACGTCACTTGCAATTACGCACACTGGATCCACTACTATCCCTACCCCTACTCGCCCTCTCCATTTATCACAAATTTTATGTGTTCCCAAATTACGTAAAAACCTTATATCTGTCTCCAAGTTATGTCAAACTAATAACGTTTCTGTGGAATTTTTTGCTTCTAATTTTGTTGTTAAGGATCGCAACACGGGGGCGCCTCTTCTGCGCGGGGAGAACTTTAATGACGTGTACTATGCACCTTCCCACCTTCCACCGCAAGTTCATGTGTCTCAAGTTTCCAGTCCATCCATTTGGCATCATACATTTGGTCATCCGTCCTCTAGAATTTTTCATTCATTAGCTGCTCAGAATAAAAATTTAATTTCTTGTAGTTCATTGTCCTCTTTCGTGTGTAATTCATGTCTTACCAATAAAAGCACGAAATTACCCTTTTTTACGAATTCCATGAATGCGTCCAAACCCCTACAACTGATATATTCTGATGTTTGGAGCACAAGTAATACCTCTGTTGATGGATTTCGCTATTATGTAATCTTTGTAGATTTTTATTCACGTTACATATGGCTTTATCCATTAAAACGTAAATCTGATGTGTCAATCATTTTTCCTCAATTTCATAGATTGGTGGAAAAATATTATCAAACATCGATTGTTTCCTTATTTACGGACAATGGTGGAGAATATATTAAGCTGCGTCAATACCTAACTTTGCATGGAATTTCCCACTTTACATCCCCACCGCATACACCCGAACACAATGGTATTTCTGAGCGGCGTCACCGGCATATTGTAGATACGGGTCTTGCTCTTTTACATTTTGCCGGGCTACCTATCACTTACTGGTCTTATGCTTTTCAAACTGCGGTGTACCTTATAAACCGTCTTCCTACACCCAACATACAACATCGTACCCCCTATTTTCTTCTTCATCAGTCTACACCCAATTACAATAAATTACGTCCATTTGGGTGTTTGTGTTATCCTTGGTTACGCCAGTACACTTCCTCCAAATTAAATCCCATATCTGTTGCTTGTGTGTTTCTAGGATATTCTACTTCCCAGTCAGCCTATTTATGTCTTGATTTTAAGACGGGTCGAATCTACACGTCTCGTCACGTAAAATTTGTGTATCATCTTTTTCCCTTCCGACCTGAACTCATGCATGTACACGGCACTAAGGACCCTCCCTGCACTAGTCAACGTCCCATCCTTAAATCTCGGTCCTCTCAACAAAATTTGGAGCAAAATACTCCTCGGCCAACTCCACCAAACTATCAACCCACCTCAATTAATACCTTACCTAATCCTACGCAACCCACACTACCCACTTTATCATTATCCCCTCTGCCAACCTTATCAAATCAACCCAACATGCCAACTATTCCATCATCTCCTATACTGACCTTATCCTCTCCCCACACCCCTCTCCCCAACCAAACCCCTCCCTCAGCACATAATTCCACGCCCACAAATCCTAATCCTACTAACCCTCCGCAATCCACCCAACACGACCCCACACCATCCTCTTTACATTCGTATACAACCAATATTATTCCCTCTCCCGCAGATGCTCCAGACCATGAATCCTCCCCTCCAGAATCATCACCCAATATACCTGTCCGTCCCATTAGGAACAGAAAACCCAACCCCAAATTCCTTGGGGATCCCTTCATTAATTCTACCATCACTCATCCTCTACCTTACACCCCTGAACCCACCAGTGTGCGTGCTGCAACATGTGACCCCAAATGGCGAGCCGCAATGCAAGAAGAATTTGATGCTCTTAAACGCAACAATACTTGGGAACTTATTCCCCGCAATGCTCAGCACCCAATATCGTGCAAGTGGTTGTTTCGTATTAAACGAAACCCTGATGGCTCCATTGCCCGATATAAAGCCCGTTTGGTAGCTCGTGGGTTCCTTCAGCAGCCCGGGAAGGACTATTTTGAGACATTCAGTCCCGTTACAAAACCTGCTACGGTTCGTATTATTCTGTCTCTTGCACTGGCAAATAACTGGCCGCTCCGGCAACTTGATGTTAACAATGCGTTCCTCCATGGAACGTTATCGGAGGAAGTCTATATGACTCAACCCCCAGGGTTTGTGGATCCGGTTTTTCCTAAACACATTTGCAGACTTCGCAAAGCTCTTTATGGGCTGAAGCAAGCTCCTCGCGCATGGTACATGGAGCTGTCCAACTTTCTGGTTACTTCCGGATTCCGCAAATCTAGAGCCGATGCCTCCCTATTTATCTATACTAATCAACATACTCGTTTGTATTTCCTTGTATATGTTGATGACATTGTATTGACAGGGAATGATTCCAAAGCTCTAAATCACTTTGTCACTCAGCTCATGCGCAGATTTTCTGTCAAGGATCTTGGTATGCTTCATCATTTCTTGGGTAATGAAGTCATACCAAATGCTACTGGTTTGTTTCTCACACAGAGGCAGTATATTTTGCATATACTTGAATCATGTCGCATGGAAGGTGCCAAGGAATCCTGCACACCACTCGGATCCACATCACTAATTCCACTGGAACATGACACTCCTACGGATGCCACTCAGTATCGTCGCACCCTAGGCCTACTTCAATATTTGTCTTTCACTCGGCCGGATATTTCATTTGCGGTAAACAAATTATCACAATTTATGCACTGTCCTAGAGCAGTGCACTGGCAGGCTGTTAAACGAGTGCTTCGGTACCTAAAGGGCACCATTAATTATGGGTTGTTTCTCAAAAAGTCTTCGGGGTTACATTTATCAATCTTCTCAGATTCAGATTGGGGCGGTGCTGCTGACCAAGGAAGGTCAACTACGGCCTATGTTCTATATCTTGGCTCCAACATTATTTCATGGAAATCTGCCAAGCAAAAATGTGTCTCTCGCTCATCTACAGAAGCTGAATATCGAGCTGTGGCCAATGCTAGTGCTGAACTCCTTTGGGTTCGAAATTTACTTCTTGAGCTTGGGATTCGGTTACCTACCACGCCTACATTATTCTGTGATAATCTTGGTGCCACGTATGTATGCGTTAATCCAGTTTTTCACTCCCGTATGAAGCACTTAGCATTGGATTACTTTTTTGTACGAGAACTTATTGAAGCGGGTCAACTCACGGTCAAGCATATATCTACAAAGCTTCAGATTGCAGATATACTTACTAAGCCATTGGGGAAGTCACTGTTTAATTTCTTCCGGTCCAAGCTTGGAGTTTCCGATGGTACCTCCAGCTTGCGGGGGCGTATTAAAACATAATATTTGTGTACATAGTTTGTATTATATCCGGCATGCATAGCTGAGTACATATATTATTATTATTATTATTATTTATTGTTGTAATTATCACTTAGCAGTAGTTATCACTTAGTTGCTAGATCCTATTTTCACTCAACTGTAATTATATATATTTGAGCCCTTGCTCACATGGAATACAAGATATTTTTCATCCTCTTCAGGGCCACCCGCCAGGTCGGGCCGGGTTGGTTAAAGATTTTTTTTTATAATTTATATTTTATAGTTTATAGTTTTATACAAGTATTAAAAACAAACTTCAAGTGCATTTATTTGAAATGAAATAGGAATTACATTTGAAAATTTAAACAAACTTCAAGAATCAAGAGACAAACATTTTGTAAATTGTAATCAATCGGAACTTCCCGCACCTCCCGATCGTTTGGCTTTGTCACATGACTTCATATGCTTCATTGCCATCCCGTATTCGCCTGAAACTCCCATGCTACATTTTTTCCCGCACCATTTGCAAGTTGCGTACCACATCCCGGTCTTCGGGTCCTTCTTCTTATCAAAATTATACCGTATAACGGCATCTTGATTTTCCATCTTAAGTATAAAGTAGATATATAAATAATAAATATAATATATTGGAGAATAAGAGAATTAGAGAGTAGAGAGTTAAGAATAGGATTTAGGAAGAATTGGAGAAGAGATATGAAAAAATGTTTAAGATTAGGAGTATTTATAGGTTTTTTACCCCCACCCCCACCCCCCAAACTCCCCGGACCCCCTGCACCCCCAACGGCTATATAGTCGTTTGGGTTGTCCCCAGCCCACCCCCCAAGGCCATAACGGCTAGTTTGGGGCCCAACATTTTTTTTTAAATGGACCGTTGGACCCGGGCCCGGGCCCGACCCGGCCGGGCCGGGTCACCTTTTTCAAGAACCGTACCCGCCCCGCCCATCCCCGCCGGTTCAGGTCTACACCCGGTCCCGGACCGCCAGACCGGGTCGGTCTCGGGCTCGCACAGTAGCGGGCCGGGCCGGGTCACGGGCCGGGTGGCCCGAACCGAATCCAAGCCTAGGTCAATGATAAAGAAATTGGGATGATGATATACTATCTCTGTTCCATTGTATGTATCTCATTTGTTTTTTTGACACAAATTTTAATAAAGTGGTTGAAACGGTAACAGATGTGGTTGAGATTTGAGTATAATAAAGTAAAATCTTGTGAATCACACATTTCTTTCCAAAAAGGGAAATGTGACAATTATTTTGGGACAACCCAAAAAGGAAAGTAAGACAGGTAAAATGGGACGAAGGAAAAGTACGGAAAAAGTATTTGTGGTTTGGACTTTGGACCATTTTTAGATAGGGACATGTGTTTCATTTTTAATAAAGTGGGTCATTGTTTCAATTCCGTTATCACAGCTGAGGCATGACATCTAACGCCGTTAACAAATTAATTCTTATTTTCTAATATCATTCCGAAAATTTAAAAGAAAAATACCGAAAAATTAAAGAAACTATCATTCTCTTAGAATTTTTTTGGCTCTATTTGGATTATTTTCTAAAAACGAATTTGCTAATATCACTTTTCGGGTGGACTTTCAGTAGACGGGGCAGCTGGAAACAAAAAAAGAAAGATGGTCCGGACGTGTGCTTGACGAGGCACACTTCCTAGTTTTTTTCTTTAAATTTTTAGAAAACGTTTGAAAATCGGGGTTAATTTTTCTAACGGCGTTAGACATCATGCTCCAGCCTCCAGCTATGATAACGGAATTGAAACACATATCCCACTTTGTTAAAAAATGAAACATGTGCCCCCATTTGAAAACGGCCCAACGTTTTTCGTACTTTTTCCTATTTCTTATTACCTTGTCCCATATTTAGGTTCTCGTCAACTATTCTCCGGTAAACATAAATTATAAATTCTTCTTGGTTTTTATTTCACTTTTTACCAAATTTGAGTTTTTCTTTTAGAACTATAAAATTTTTAATATAGTTTTTTTTTGTCTCGGAGTAAACCATACGATGTGGGGGAGTGCCGGGGAACATCTCCCCATTTTATTAAATAAAATTTAAAGAGTACAAAAGGAAAAGAAAAGGTACAAGGAAAATAAAATGAAAGGGTACAAAAAGCAAACAATACAGAGGAAATAAGAGTACATCAGTAGTTGAAGTTTTTTGAGGGGGTTCCGATTGATGTTGAGATAAGTGTTGTATCTGTTGTTATTCGTACAATCGGTAATAGTTATCGGATTAGTTACTATTACTAGGCATGTCAAAAAAACCGACCTGCGATGACCCGCCCTGGCTCGAGAGATTTGGGGCGGGTCCGGCCCGCCCCATCTTGCAAATGGGGCGGGTCCGGCCCGCCCCGTCCATACAATGGGGCGGGATCGGGTGTGGGTCTTATTATTGACCCGCCCCGCCCCATTCATTATATAAGTATACACTTTTTAAAAATTATATTACAAATATATTTCTACATACATATGTGTGTGTTGGAGTATATGGTCCAGCAACCTCCGGCCCACATACTTCCACTTCTACAATTAGGCCCAACAGGCCCAAGTGACCCAAACACAGCAAACAGGACTTCAGACACCTCACTGGGGATATACGACATACTACAACGAGGTACGTACGTCCAGAAATAGACGCCTGGTCCAGACACCTCACTGGGGACGTACGACACGCTACAACAAGGTACGTACGTCCAGAAACAGCCGCACCTGGTCCGCAAAACTTACTGGGGACGTACGACCTTCAGTACAAGCCGGCCCCCGGGTACGTACGTCCTTCGTCACATGAAGTCCCCGGGGGACGTACGTCATTCGGCACATGAAGGCCCCAGGGGACGTACGTCCTCCAGCACATGAAGTTCCCAAGGGACGTACGTCCTTAGACACATGAAGCCTCCGGGGCACGTACGCCCTTCAGCACATGGCGGTCCATCGGCTACGCCCGTCCTCCAGTACATGAAGTTCCCAAGGGATGTATGTCTTTAGACACATGAAGCCTCCGGGGCACGTACGTCCTTCAGCACATGGCGGTCCATCGACTACGCACGTCCTTCGGCACATGAAGTCCCCAGGGGACGTACGTCATTCGGCACATGAATGCCCCAGGGGACGTACGTCCTCCAACACATGAAGTCCCCAAGGGATGTACGTGCTCCGGCACATGAAAGCCTTTGGGGTACGTACGGCCTCCGGCAATACCCCGACAAGATCTCCTCTCTGCATGCGCTGAATCGTCGCATTGAATGCAACGTCACTCCCAAACCATCGCATTGAATGCGGCCACATGCTATGTCGACGCCACTCTGGCTGTGTTAACTCTCCGCTGCTGGTTACTTGCCACGTGTACTCTCACTTATTGCACCTAGCATCTATGACTGCTATAAATAGCTAGCCCCTTCTTCATTGTAAAGGACCAGATTCCGATACCAGATCCGATCGAACACTTGAGTTCAATTAATACTCAAGTGTTCGATACCATACTTTGTCAATCTGATATGAAACACATATCTTTCTCCTTCTGCTCCCTTCTTTTTTCTTTGTTGTGCACCCTTGCTCCTTTTTTGAAGTGGACATGAAGATGCTGCTTTGAAATTTCAAACCATACTTATTTACTCACACTTCATTTACGGTATAGAAGATAATTTACTCTTAAATATTTATAGATTTCGATACCAGATCCGATCGAACCATTCTTTTTCTATACCATACTTATAGTTTATTTACACATTGACAAATGAACTCATACTTAATGCAGATGGTAGTTGTTCCATTTTAATGTATGAAACAATGAGTTTTTCTTTTGCACTTGAACTGTTTGATGAAATGTCTATGTGAAAATTGTTCTTGTTTTGCATTTTTTAGTTATGAAAAATTCTGGGCAACTTACTTTTTTATTGTAATGTTGACATATTTTTCACCTTTTAATCATGACACTATTTGATATTGTGATATTTTTTTACATAATATATAATGACATCAATTTTAAACAATGACATTATATTACATGGTCATGTTATGATGAAAACAATGTCACAACCTACCAATGTCACAATAGTAATATCACAATGTCACGTAAAATGTCATTAGCAATGTCAATATTGACATTGTCATATTATGATGAAAGCAATGTCACGCCCTAACAATGTCATAATTGTAATATCACAATGTCACGTAAAATGTCATTAGCAATGTCACAATATTGATATTGCAATGTCACATTGTCACTACAAATGTTATAATATCTTCAATGAAAAGAATGTTATACTTTTACAACGGCACACATTAATATTAAAATGCCACATGCCAGTGTAACTATGTTAACATAATGTCACAAGACAATGTCATAGTATTACATGGATTATCGTCAATGAAATAATGTCATAATGTTTTTGACAATGTTATAGTTTTCTTATACAATGTCACAATTTCACTTTATATGTTTATTCACGAGAATCTACGATGAGACGGCAGAAGTAGTTTTTTTCAATAGTTCTCAAGTAGGAAAAATATCTCATTGTGATAATGTGACATAAAATATGACATTTTTTATAACATTACAATTATAAATAGGGAAAATAACTTTAAATAATACCAACTATCACTTATAAACCAATAATAATATTATGTACTTTCTGGAAAATCATTTTGATAAGATAAATCTGCAGAATAAAATAAAAAATAGAAAATCAAAAATAATAATTGAGAATTGAAAAGTAAAACACCAACAAAAAGAAACGTGTAGCAGCAGAGCATAGGAAGTCGATAATAAAAAATACGTAGTAGCAGACTGCACCACTGGCTATTTGTGTGCACTTGCTTCATCTGGGATGGAATGCGCAAAAATCTTACTGACATAGTTTTGATAGCCTTAGAATTGTGATCGAGGTGGGCGGAGGATCTAGCGGTGCGTGGGAGGAAGACCAGGGGAAATCTAGTGCAGGACGGCGGAGATGTCGCCCACCGGAAGTTTTGCAGCAGTTATAATGAAGTTTCCGATGAAGTTTGGAGGACCCAACAATGAAGTTTCCGATGCTAATTTAGACGATTGAAGTTCCGTATTAGTTGCTGGGGCCACTTTTCCTGCAGAAAGCATAGATAGGGATAAGGGGTATTTTTGTCCCTTTATTTAAAAACCTTCAATGCTACCTATAACTCCTATTAAAAACCTTCAACTCCTATTTACCTTCCATGCTACCTTTTAGTCCTATTTATGTCTTTTTCCCCTCTATAATTTGTGAAAATTATAAACCGATTCAAAAATAAATAAAAAACATTAAATTAAATATTTTAATAATATAGCACCAAACTTCAATCTTGAAGAACAAGTCATCCGTTAAAAGACTCTTAAATGTGCATGGCTGGTGGATTTGAACTACGAACTTGAGTTGCAAGTTGAGCTAGATTATTAGTTTATCATCATTGTTTCTCAAATAGTGTGTATTTTTTGACATTGAAAAAATGGACTTATGAATTCTGAGCACGCGCGTACACCGAAAGAGTGCTAAAATCTTGCACCATCGGGTCACGTCAAACAAGTGCGGCGATAGTAAGCTCCTAATCCAAATGTTATCTAATGCATACTTTAGTTTCTATGTTTTGCACGAGTTATGTGTGCCCCCTAAAACTATGAGGGTCATACTCTAGATTAGGCGCGTGCCACGCTCCAACTAAGCATAGAAACCCGACTTGAGCTCCATCTTGGAAATTTGAGGCCACTTAATTTAGGCCCAAAATTTAATAGCAAATTATAAGCTCAAGAAATTATAACAATTTTATTTGAATGCATAGGTGCAACTAAATGATGACATCATATCGGCCCTTTAGTCGTCTCTCCTGGTCATCTTTATTTGATGGCTTGAACTTCATATAGGCCTATCGGCCACATATCTCAGTCATCTTTATTTGATGACCTGGACATCATATTATGGACGGTCACTTGACCTATCTCTTAATCATCTTTATTTGATGACTAGAACTACCTATCATGCCGAGCTACGCACATACGAAGACCGGTCTTGGCCATCCCCTCAGCAGATACCAACGATTGCAGCTCCACACCTATGTTGAAGGGCTCACCCCTTTTGCTTCATTTTGAGGGCATCCAATGTACTCTTTTTCTCTCATTAGGATTTTTTCCAACTGGGTTTTTCCTAATGAGGTTTTTAACGAGGCATCTCCCCATGGTGGACCAAAAGGTGTCGACCCTCGGCCCCCTATTGAAGACATGCATTACTCTACTCTTTTTCACCTCATTACACGTGTCTCAAGGAGTGGGGGACTGGAAGAGCGGGGGATTTAGCGCCTCCGTTAATCAAAGAAGCACAAATTCAAAATTTTTCACGAAGTTTACTCCATTAGACGACGACATATCAGCACATAACTCTTCCCTTTCACCTCGAGTACTCTCGACTCGGGAAGTGGGAGACTCCTGATAGAGTATATGGACCTGGAACCTCGGTCTCATGACTATTGGGCCTGGACAGCGGCCCACACACGACTGTCAGATGTCATTTATATCCTTTGTATTATTGTAGAGTTCATTTGTATGTACTAGATTAGTCTTTTATGTAATTGGGCCTATCGGGCCCAAATTAACGGCCGAGTCCATTATTTCGCTATATATACTCCTTTTGGAGCTTGTAAACCCTAATTTCATAGAACCAATATTACATATTCACACATTCAATACGCATCTTCTTCTCCATTCTTGAGCTCAATCTCTCCTGTTATTATTAGATTGGATACCCTATAATCTATCACCTAATATATTTTATAATACATAAATTAAAAAACTTAAGTTAGAAGTTTGACTGGATAAAGAAAAAAATAAACAGGGACATTTAATAATATTTTGTACAACTTTTTATATTATAAATTTTCATAGTAATTCAATATAAAATTAAAGTAAAAAGTTGCTAAAGAAAAAACAGAAAAGGAGAACAAACAATAAAAATAGAAAAGAGAACAGCCAATAAAAATAATAAAAGATCAGAAAAAGAAAGGATCGAACCAAAAACAGAAGAAAGATAGAAACCATTCGGCGCAGGAGGTCCAGGAGGTCTGCATGCGTGCAGCAAGAAAAATGAAGCACAGTAACATCATCTAAGTATTTCTTTTTTTAGATGTCCTAAAAAGATTTGTCATTTCCATTTAAATTTAGAAATTAGAAATATGTGGCTAAAATTAATTCTCTCTTATCTGCACAAATTTCAACCATACAATTTTTACTTTATTAATCCACGTGAAAATAAACTTTGGACAACCTTTTCGGGACAGAGAGAGTAACAAATTACAAAAATATCAGTTATACAATGCTCTTGGTACAGCCAATTGTACCATATAATTTACCATGTAAGAAGATGGTCGAATGGTTGGTTGGACGAAGGATGACTTTGCGAGACCTTCCATGGGAGAAGAATTAGGGTGTCCCGGTCCTACTTGAAATATGTGGTCTTGTTTTTGTCAAAACTAAGATGTGGTTCTATTTTTGTCCGGTGAAAAGTTTGAAATAATATTTTTGACACTATTTAAAAAACAGGATTGGTACCGGCTGGTCGAGCATAACTAGCCCTGAACCCGACTACCAGTCTCGATTCTCCCTACCCGCATCCTAAGGATCAGAAAACCCATCCGGAACTTAACCGGGTTCACCCATACGTGAAATCATAGTTTTTGGTTCTATGCAACGGATCCAATTAAGGGGGTGTATTAAAGGGGTGTTTGGATCTACTTCTTAAAATTGTTTCTACTTCTTCAAAGAGCAGAGGCAAATATTGAAGTATATGGATGAAAATGCAGAAGTGGTTTGAGTGCTTAAAATGCTCCTAGAACTAGTTCTTTAGAAGCTGGGGGCCAGATTATGAAACATTGATTCTGATTGTGCTCTTTCTTTAAATAAACAAGCATATATATTATTAATTCCAAGAACCTCATAAATTGTGTCAGAGTATTTTGGACCTACGATTAATATTTCTTTTCCCGACATGTTTGTGTTACTGATTGGTTCTAATTGAGCCACTGTAATTAGTTTGTTCTAAACAGAATTATAACTTTGTGAATTGCGATTCCCTAAATGGTCAAGTTAAAAAATACTTCGTAATATTTTAAGACTTTAGCCCAAAAAATCTATTTTACTTTTTTTTGGATGAACCTGTAAATATATATATCATCCCAAAAAATAACATGCACACATGCATCCAAAACTATAAAGCAACCCACCATACATGGTTACCATCTAATCTAGTAAGCCAAAAGATCCGATAAAAGGTTGGGCCCAACACCAGAGTAAGGCAATAACCAATCAAAGGGTGTTGCATGGTGCATGCACACCATAGTTTCACAAAATACATATATTAGCCACGGCTAAACAAAACAAGATACTACAAGTATCAAAAGTTAATCAACTCGTACAGGTAGATGTTGTAAAGGATCTTGTAGACCACGTGCTTAAACTTTGCAACCACATCATCCTCGGTCTTCGTAATGTCATCAAAGCGGCAAGTGTTTCTTGCATGCCATATCCAATAAATAGTAGCGCAAAACGCCAAACGGACAGTCTTTGATTTTAGGAGAGCTCCCTTATGTTCCTTCCTAATCCATTTGACTGCTGTCTTCATCTCTCTCTTAGTGCCAATCCAGTCCCTAATTCTCGCCCAAATCCTGCAAGAAAAAGGATAAACAAATTAAAGAAGAGGTGTGGTATTGTTTCCAATCCACCCTTACAAAGGTCATTTCTGTTTACCATGTTAAGGTATGCAAGGTTATCTTGTGTTGGTAAACGGTTTCGAAAAGCAAGCCACACGGTAAAGAAAAATTTAGGGGGAATGTACCCTTCCATATAAATGCCATCCAGAATTTTACCGTGCCCTTGATACACAATAAGTCATAAAACTTAGCCGAGCTAAGTTTACCATTAACACACATGGCATTCAAACCCATGATGGTCTCATTTGTATTGTGAAAATGTTTGCATATCTTATCACGGATAAGGCAAAGTTTCTTCATAAGTGGACAGTCACGATTGTGTGGGGAACAATCCCACACATTTCTTCCTTTAAGATAAACATAATTGACCCATTGGACCCAAAGAGTGTCATATTTTTTGTGAATATTCCAAAGTGTTCATGCAAGGAGAGCCTCATTCCAAACCTTTGCATTATTAATCCAAAGGCCACCTTCCTCCTTTGGGAGGCAAATGTCATCCCACGCATCTTTTGAGTACCCCCCCCCCCCCCCAAATGAAAATTCTACAAAGTGAAACAATCTTGTCAAACATTGTTTGTGGTACCGGGAAAACTTGAAGCCAAAAGGATTGAACCTCTTGTACAACCGATCAGAAGAGTTCAAGTTTCCCGACATAGGATATGGATTTAGCATTCCAAGCGTTTAAGAAGTCAGTGATAGTATCAAATAAAGGTGAGTATTGTGCCACTGAAACCTTTAATGGGGCAAGTGGGATGCCAAGGTACTTGACCGAAAAAATGCCACGCCCAAAATCAATCAAATCAAGTATGTGACCAATATCATAATCCGAGACACCACCAATAAATATATTTGATTTATCGTGGTTAACTTTAAGGCCGGAAACCTCACCAAACTCATCAAGTGATTTGATGAGTATTTTTATAGAATGTGTATCCCCTCTAGAGAAAAGCATAAGATCATCGGAATAAGCCAAGTGTGTAATACCAAGAGAAGAACAAAGAGGGTGATAAATAAATTCGGACCCTTTAGCTTTCATCTTAAGCAATCTATAAAAATATCCAAGGCATAAGACGAATAAGAGAGGGGGCATAGGATCTCCTTGTCGAATACCTATCTTACCTTTAAACCATCCATAAAGTGAGCCACTTAGGGAAATGGAAAATGATGCATTAGACGCACATTCTATAATCCATCCGATAAATTTAGGATGTAAATCCAAGCCTCGAAGAATTCACGCCAAAAACTCCCAAGATATGGTGTCATACGCTTTACAAAGGTCCACTTTAATCATGCATCTTAGAGAGATGTGTTTCCTTCTATAACCTCTCACAAGTTCTTGTGCAAGAAATATATTGTCGAACATAAGGCGCCCATCAACGAAAGCTCCTTGAGCTCATCAAGAAAGATGGAAGGCAAGGTGCCATTCTACTTGACAAAATCTTGGTAATTACTTTATATATTACGTTGTGCACGGTTTGTATTTGGAATAAGATCAATCACGGTATGATTAATTTGTTTAAGCAATTTCCCGGATGCAAAGAATTCTTTAACCGCACTAACCATGTCATCACCGATCAAATGCCAATTAGCTTTAAAGAAAGCCGAAGAGTAATCATCTAGCCCAGAAGCTTTGTCATTCCCAGTGTCAAAGAGGGCATTTTTTTTTATCTCCATGTTGGTTATGAGTTCAATAAGTCTCTCACGAGAAATGGGGTCAATTGAAGGACCATTTGCCATAACCAAGGGATCAATAATTAAGTAATCCGTGTGAGTACCAAATAAAGTAGTAAAGAAGTTAACGAATTCGTGACCCACTTGTTACAAGGACGTAGTAAGGTTACCATCCGCTAAAGTAATTGAAGATATGGCATTATGCGCCATGTTCCTTTTAACAATGACATGAAAGTATTTAGTGCTTTTTCCCGCTTCCAAGATGTGCGTGGACTTAGCTTTTTGTGGTTGAAGCTACATTCAGCTTCTCCCAAGAAAAAAACGTTCTTTTTTTCATCCTTAAGGTCGTTAATAAGATCTACATCAGAAAGGGAGGCTAAGGAAAGTTTATGAAGTCATTTGTATTCCTCCTTAGCACTCTTAAGAGGTCCTTTTAATAATTTCAACTTTCTAGTTAAATAAAATTGAGCGGTGCCATCAATATGTTGGTTCCAAACCTGCTCAACAATGTTAGAAAAATCATAATGCTTAATTCACATATTAAAAAATTTAAATGGCTTAGCTAAGGTATAGGAGTTGTGGAGAATGGTCACAATTGAAGCTGTGTGGTCAAATTCCACCTCCATTTCACAGAAATGAGCCTTTCACTCAATATTTTGTTGACCCCAAACAAAGTTTATCATCACCCGATCAAGTTTGGCCCAAAGAGAACTTCTGTTCCAAGTTAAAAATTCCCCCGTGGAGGGAGCATCACAAAACCCTGGATTAGCTTTGAAATCCAACAAATCCTTCATGAGATACGATGTAGGTGGGGCAGAACCCATCCTTTCCATGGAAGAGCAAACACAATTTAGGTCTCCCATTACAGTCCAAGGGTCAACAATTAAGTCACCCACCTTGCTAAATGTTCCTAAAGACTCCTACGCTCAACAACAGTATAAAGTGCATATGTTGTTTAGCCACCTCTGTTGGTCCCGGTTGTACTGGATACAGTCTAGAGGGGGGTGAATAGACTGTATTGGTTTTTAACTTTTTAGGATAATTACCAGATTTAACAGAATAGCCTGTTCTGTTGGCAGAACAGACTGGCAGCGGATGGGGTTCTGGTAGGGGTTCTGTCAGATTAGCCTCCGAGAAGCAAAGGCAATAGGCCTTCTGTTAACTCACAAGACACGTTCTGCTGAACACAGAGACCAAGTCTTTGGAGTTAAACATTTCAAATAAGAACAATAAATAAGTGCAGTAAGTAAATGACACCAGGGCTTTTTATAGTGGTTCAAGGAACAACTTGTTCCTCTAATCC